GTACTGGAGCCAATCCCATAGCCACAGGATGCCATTTGGAGCTCCTTGTCACCTGACTCCACAGAAGGGCTGGACACTGCCCACTCTGTCAGTCTCCCCTCTTTCTATCCCAGGCAGCTCCCTCCCTCAGCTCCTTTGCTACTAAGGTGGCAGCGGCAGCTGCTGCTGCTGTTGCTGAGGATTGTGCAGCTCCATTGCCACCTCTCTCCACAAGCCGAGCCCTGCCTTCTCCTCCGACATTATAGCAGGTAGCTTTCTAAATCACTGATAAAAGAGTAAGACCAGGACTCCTCCAATTTCTCTTCTATCTACAAACTTACTGACATCTCCCCTCCTTTTCTAAATCAGTCCAGAGTCTCCCTGAGGCTTACTCAGGACTTATCCCTCCAGCTGTCCTAGTCACCTCGCTGCCACCTGCCCGAGGCCATGTGGCTATCAGCCAGGCCAAGGGCTTCTGTTCTTCCATCCTATCCAAGGTCTTTCCCTGGATTCAAAAACAATTGTGTAACAACATTTTCAAGCAAAAATTTTAAAAATATTTATGTAGCATCTATATTCTCTAATATACTACAAAGGTGGTTTTGAATTCCAGCTTTCCAATGACTATCAAGGAAGTGTTGGGCAAATGCTTTACTTTTCCTATACTTTAGCCTCTTCTGCGTAAAACAGGTATGCAAACACCTTCTGTATGATTATTTTTTAAAAGGGCTTAATACTATAAATGAAGACTATTGTAGTGATAAGAGCTTGACATACTAGATAAAATATTTTGTTTGCTCAATATATTAGATATGCATATGTTCAATATTTTCATTTAAACACATATAATCTGAGTGCTCCTTAAATTTCATTAGATGTTTTATATTTCAAATGCTTGCAACATGATTAGAAACTATAGTGAATATCCCAAGCCGGGAGTGGTAGCACATGCCTGTAATCCCAGCACACGGGAGGCTGAGGCAGGAGGATCGTTGCAAGTTCAAGACTAGCCTGTGCTACAAACTGAGTTCAAGGCCAGCCTGAACTGCATAGTGAGACCCTGTCTCAAAAACAAAAAAAAAAAGAATATCCCAACAAAAAACATGACAAGAATTCTTTAATTCCAAGTTTGATGGTGAGAAAAATCCAATGCTTCCATGGTACAAATGTTACTTGCTTAAAAGCAAATGATCAAGAGAATAGATTCTAAAATAAAAGTAAAAAGCAAAAAGGCACACCCCCAATGACCTCAAGGCCTTTTACTAGGTTCCATCTCTTAAAGGTTCTACCATCTCCTAGTACACAGTGCCATGCTAAAAAACACATGGAAGTATGGAGGACACTTACCATTCAACCTATAGCATTCTCTCCCTTCATCAATGATTTCTATCATTTTCGCCCCAAACTGCTAACCATGGCATGTCTTCAGATCAGACAGATCTAAGTGTAAATCCCAGATCTTTCCTTTACTACCTATGTGAACTTGGCCAAGTCATTTAACCCCACTAAAATTCAATTTCCTCACCTGAGAAATCAGGACAATAGTAAAGCCTATCTTACAGTTGTTGAAAGAATGAAATAGCAGTGAGTACCCAATAACTCCAGGGTTTCTGGCCTGCTGTGCCTAACAGGAAGCAGAGACAGGACCAGATAGGTTTGGAGGGAGGTCTAAGGCATCTCACTGGGTAACATCAACCACTAAAGTTCTAGAGGAACTCAGGAAGGGACCTGGGCCAGGGGTTTAGCTCAATAGTAGAACACTTGCCTAGTATGTGCAAGGCCTTGGGTTCAATGCCCTACACTGCAAAAATAAGTAAATAAAGAACTCTAGAGGAGAGTATCTCCCTCAAGCCAAGGGAGTAGAGTTTCAATCAAAATAGTGTAGACAATAAGATTAGATGCTGCTTGAAAGTGAACCAAAATGAAGACTGAAAGTGACCACTGAATTTAGCAACTAGGTCACCAGCAAGAGGCATTTCAATGATGTAATGTGGCCAGAAGCCAGAATAAAGTGGAAGAGGAGTGAATGGAAGTAAAGAAGTGTGATAACAGATATATTCCTAGAAATCTTAGCTGAGAGGGAAGGGGAGAGTTGTGGGGCACTGATGACCAGAACAGGTAGGCACAAATGAAATTAAATTTCTCTGTGTCTCTCTCCCTCCCTTCCTTCCAACCTCCTTCTCTCCTTCCCTCCCTCCCTCATGCTAGAGATACAATCCAGTATCTAACACATACTAGGCAAGTCCTCTCCCACTGAGCTATACCTCCAGCCCTGAAATTTGTCTCTTAAATAGTTGGAAGACTGTTGAGTGATCGTATGCGGAGAGCAGACCAGAAAAAGGAAGGGTCAGAGGGAAAATTCAGAGCAAGGGGATGAGGATGGTTTCAGCTCTCTGAAGAACAGAACAATGACATTCAGACTCCCAGGTGAAGAACTGGCATTTGTCATAATATACACTTTAAGCAAATCCACTTACAAACTCAGATTATGTGGTCTGTCTGAGCCGATGGTGCTCGTCTTCCATAGGAAGGGGCCTGGTAATCACAGTTCCTTGGTGGCCGCCTTGCTGGGTGGTCTTGCAAGCCATGGTTGAGAGACCCAGACATATGTCCCAAACTGGCTTCTTTCCAGTGCCAAAAGGTGGGTTCTGTACACAAAGCGTACAGGTAACTTTGGAAAGAACTCCTCTGAACTCCTATAGGCCAGTTTATAAGAAGATTCAGTATTCTCTGCCAGCACAAATGGGCATTTGGAAGCAGGCTGTCCAAAGGGAAGAGAAGCCTACTGGGGGAAGCACAAGGGCTCGTGCTCAAGGTACTTGGAGTTGATAAAAAAAGACACAGGAAGACCCTATTATCCCAAAGTAGAAAAGGAACTCATTTGCAGAACACCTCTAATTGGAGATTATATATTTACAAGATTCCCTGTTTGGCCAAACTTAGTTTAGTCAGGCTCCCAAATCTTCTAGGCTCACCTGGCACTTCCTTGTAAAATACAGTGCTGGCAAAATAAATAATAAAAACCTAGGTCAGTTTAGCCAGAACTCTGGGTATCTGATCACCTTCACTATCTGACCAGTTTCTTCATCCTCCTAGACCCTGTCTCATCACCCTGGCCTGTCTTCAGCAAGAGTCCTGTTGGAATCTCCCTCTACCCTATACCTCTCAGTCATTCTCCACCCTATAAATTCCCACTTGTCCATATTGTGTTCAGAACTGAGACCAGTCTTTCTTCCCTACTGCAAAATGTGTAGTGGCATATGCCTATAATCCCAGCAATCTCGAGGTTGAGGCAGGAGGATCGCCATGAGTTCAAGACCAGCCTGGGCTACGTAGTGAGTTCAAGGCCAGCCTGGATTCACAGTGAGACCATGTATTAAAAAAAAAACAAATAGTAAAACCTACTGTAAAATCCCACTGATCATAACCCTAAATAAAATCTGCTTTTCAAGAAAAAAATAAATTTTTATTTAAAATACCCACCCATTTTACTCTCCCAGTGCTTGGCAAAGTGTTGACAGAGGAAGAAGGGGGACTCAAGAAGCGGAGCTTGCCTGACACTCAGAACTAAGTGGTGGAGTCCAACTCTCTGGATATGAGATCCAGCTCTCCTGCCCCTACAGTCCACATGTTCCTATGCCCTAAAGCAGCACCCATGGGATGGCTAGAGGAGAGCTCTCACAGTTGCTGCCAGTCCTGTACCCTGCAGCTGGCGCCAGGGCAGCTGCCCCCACTTGCCAGGTTGGCCTGGGGTGGAGAAGGTCCCCAGTGCCTTAACCTTATCTCTGATAGGGCCCTGGCAGGCTTTCCAAGCACCATCAGTTCCCAAGGTTCTGGTCCCATATGGGCTGGGCCTGGCAGAGATGGTCAAGGAGGAAACAGCAGGAGTGCCAGCTGGACCTATTTGCAATCACAGCTGTTTGTGGCACCAGGACTGCCCAAGGTCTCCTCTCCAGGGTGCGAGGGTGAGAAGATGAGAAGGCAGGAGTTCCTCACACCGTTCTGGCCCAGATCCTTTGAGTTACGGATGGAAGCAACTGAACCATAGGAAGGCACGCCCCCAACCCACAACCTTGCACACCAACCACCATCACTACCCATGCCTCCAAGTCAGCCCGATCTCCAAGGGGCAAGCACCAGAGAGACCGGGGAGCCTTGCTAAAATGCACCCCGCAAGCCCCACGGAGGGTCTGTAGGTATGGTTCGAGGCCTGGGAGGCCTCAGAAGATTTGGGCCAGATCCTCAGCAGAGCTCACTTTGAGAAACTCGACTCTGGGACTGAGAGGATATCCCCTCCCCTCCCTGCTCCAAACTTTCCCCATCTCGCCGGGGGCACCGCACTGACATTTCCCATGCCCTCCGGTGGGCCTCGCCGCGCGCGCGATCGTGGACGCATCTGGGTAACCTGGAGAGGACCCAGTGCGACGGCCCCAGGGACCTGCGAGCCCCTTTCTCGACCACGCCACGGTCTCAGGAGGCGCAGTGCGGTGGCCGACAGGGGGCGCGGTCGGGGCAGGAAATGCAGGAAGGGGGCGCCTGGAGACCGCAGCCCAGCGCCCAGCGGCGGGAAAGGAGCGGGAGTTCGGCAGGCGGGAGGGAGGGCGCGGC